CTTGAAGTTGTAACTTAATATAAGATATTCAGTTTCAACTTCAGGTGTCCTGAAAATCAGAGTTTAAGGTGCAACTTAAGGCGTACTGAATTTGGTTTCTGAAATTCATAATTTAAGTTACATTATCAACCCACCTGAAAACTTGCATCTGGCAGTGTGATGCCATAACTTGCGGGCCGAACATCATCCCGCCATCAATCTTGGTACAAACAGAGGTTCAAGGTTGTATTCCATCCCCCAATCACAAAGTGTACCAGAAAGTAAATGGCTGGTTTGATATTGCCCAATGGCCCACTACCTAGGGGTGGCCCACTTCCCAGCGGGTTATAGTAAAGGGATAATAATGGTTTACTGTTGGATTAAGGCTTGTGAACCAAAAAATCTCATAGCTTCAGGTTATGCTCTTCAGATTGAAGTGGTCTCATTTTTCCCTGGGCTATTAGACGCTGAATTGCTGCGTTTCGAGACGACGCGGATGGCGGATGTCGGGCCGGCACACGTGCACATTTCAAACTCCGCTCGTGGCCCATTGGCACCAACTGTTGCTCTAACTAAACCCACCCTCCAAAGGCGTCGTCCCAGGTAAGCTTCTTCCTCAGATTCCTCTGTATATCATCTTGAACATCCATAGCTAAAGATGTTCCCGCCAGAGCTCGTTTGCGCTGTGATCGACCAAATTAGCCCCGGCGCAAGTATGGACGTCGACAGCAACGTAACATTGAGGTCCTGTTCCCTCGTATCCCGGCCATTCGCGGAAGCCAGCCAAAGGCGTCTGTTCTGCCAGCTCCATATCGGCGCCTTCGATGAACCAGACTCAGGTCGGGCTCCCGACACCAGTCGACGACTCGCACATGTGCTGATTTCCCGGCCTCATCTTGCGTCCTACGTGAAGGTCCTTGGCCTTAGCGGAAAATCCTTTGACTACACCGCACTCACTCTCATCATTTCCTCACTACAAAACCTGCGACACTTCACGTTGGTCGGCACGCCGTTACTCGACCTCTACAGTCGCACGACTCCACTGATCTGGCAGGCGTTGTCCGGCCCTCTATCGGTGTTGTGCCAGCTTCCGGCCCTCCGCCATATCAGTATGCGGGGACGTGTCCTTTGATCATTGGTACGACTTGGAGTCATTCCTTAGCAAGTGTACCCAATTACGACATGTAAAACTGTGGGACCTCGATTTCGGGTGGCGTACTCGCCCGCCGCATGTGGAAATCGCAACCACTCCAGTGGTCCTAGAATCGCTCGATGTTCGGGATGCGCCCCCGCCGCTATCCTGTCGGGGTAGTCCACTCAATATCTCCTGCCTTCGCTCCCTGTCCTTGACGTATGTATCTTTCCCCTCAATGAAAAGCCTCATCCAGGCGAATTCGTTATCGCTTCGACACCTCTCCATCAACATCGGCTATGGTACCGGTGTGTGTCAGTTTCCTTACATCTGTTAGGAGCGATAGTGACTTTCTCAATCAGAGCTTCCGAGGACGCAGAAATAGTGGCATGTGCGGAGCACCTCACATCCATACACTTCACCATCTTCTCCCACTCCCTCGCCGGGATAATCCCATGGCTACAGGGAAGGCATCTGCAGACCATTAACCTGCGGCTGAACGATGTGCCTGCACGTAGCCACGAGGGAATGTGGCGGAGCCTCGACGACGCCCTCAAACTTTTGCCAGTCATCGCGGTGAATGTTGAACTACCGAAGGAAGTTATGAACTCAGAGGATACGCTCAGGGTGGGCGGCTTTGGTTTTTGGCTGCCCAACTCAGAGGATAGGCTTAAGGTCGACGAGCTTCCTCATTGGCCTGCCCACCTTGAACAGCAGGGGCATTCTGCATGTGTTGATTCATAGCCGGCGTGCTTACGAGGACTTACCCGACGCTATGTATTGAGCATACAAGCCAGTCCTTCCGGTTCGTTGTAGCTCTATCAAAATTTCCCAATCATCTATGTTGTGCTTTGGGTACTCAATTCTGTGATGGATTGTTTCTCGGACGTGTTTCATCTCGGCGACTTTAATGACCCAAAATCTAATCATGCCTCAGGCATTAATCGACCTTATTTTGCGTCTTCCATCAGGGTCCTCGGCGTCAGGGGAAAATCCTTTGACCACACCTCACTCACTCTATAGTTTCCTCTCTGCAAAACCTGCGGTACTTCACTTTGAGCGGTGCATTGTTATTTAGTGGGCTGAACGGGGGCGTTCAGCATGTGAGCGGATTACATACATACATAGAGGAGTTCCGCAACGAGCCGGTATCATATATGTATGAAAATCACTTGCCCGGTTCTATCCGAGTCGGCCAGTGTCGCCCATAATAAATTCCAATCTTAATACCTGATCCCGCCCGCCCATTCTGTCCTTTTAAATCGTATATATGAACTCAGTGTCAATAGAGGTGCCCAGACTTCCCTGGACAGTGTATGCCAGCTGGCCAGGTAGGCGATGAGAACTTGTTCATGTCCGGTATGCAGTTTAACCTGAATTTTCAGGCCAGACCGCGTATATGGCGGAAAGAGTTTTCTAACGCCAAGGCCGTGTCACATGTGTTGTCTTTGCGCTTCTTGCCTGCAATTGCCCGGTTTGATGAACCTATTTTTTTTTCTCAACCAGGCACCTGGGGAAACGCCGCAATTTCTTAACGACTATAGGCTATCCATGTGGAGCGAATGAACTTCTGTGCTAGCCGCGTTTACGGGTAGGCTGCTGAGCCCGGGAGATAAATGTATGAAAGGATTGAGAAGTGTTTATTGTACAGTGCCTTCTGGTAATACAGAAGGAACAAACCCAAGACAAATAATCAATTACCACGTCGCACCATGGCCCATACTTCGTCCAACGTCCGCTTCATCTAAGGCCTTCAATGCGGATACCAGCTCATCCCTCTCGTTCAGCGTGGGGGATCTCCGCATCGCGCTTGTCTGCATTATACGGCCGACGTTCTCAATCCGGATCGTCAGGGAATAAAGCAACAGTAGAAGGTCTGCCTCGGTAATGTCGGTGGTAGGAGGGTAAAAAGACACTCGGATCGCCATAACAGAACCACAGGTGGGTCAGAGGCCTCTGCAGTGGGAGTTGGCCGGAATACGCGCTTAGAAGTTGTAATTTCGAGTCGGTGGCAGAACATAGCAACATCCCGAACTTGAGCGATGTTGAACGGAAATCTGGAGGTGCTCTTTGAATCGGTAGAATCGTCGATGCTCTTTCGTTCAATAAGTGTAGCGGGAAAAAGAATGGGAAAAAGAGAGGACCTCGTAACCTCGAGACCCTTGAGTCTAACTTCGCGGACAGGAATAATGACGGCTCCAAACGTCTAATCCCATCACCTGCCTCCTGTGGTTGAGAATCCGCGGAGTATTCGGTATTCTCGAATATCTTTGCGGCGAGCTCGTTCATGACGTCCAGAACTGCAAAGATGTGTCCCGCCAGATGCGTGAAGAGCGCGTTACGATCAGGCCAAAGTAATCCATCATCCGTTTGGAAACCGTCCTTATATCCCGAAGGTACAGCATCAGGGAGGCTTGCATCGTCACGTCAGATGCAATTTATCAATTAGACTTTATGTTGAGAGGGTTACATGGTGAGTAACAGACACTTGTGAGTAAATGGTCACCAGAGGGAACCAGAGCTGTGTCTTGGGTTATGACTGGTGCGGCGTGGAACGAGCATGAAGAGCGAATGACGGAGGAAGCACAAACAAGTGTGCCAAGATGTGACAAGAACCCAATCCGGCAGGATCACCGGAGTATTGGCCTACACCGTTTTATTTGAGCAACAATGTGGTTATTAAAATCTGTACAGGGGTCCCTACCCCCTCTACAAATTTCTATAGATTCACATTAAAATCCATCCATTTTGAGGTGATGGCTTTTTCGGGGTCCTGACAGCTGTCTCGGCAACACAGCCGGAAAAGCTCAGATATTCCCCAGACTTTTTAAACCACCGTGGAAAGTCACCCACTCAGTGGTGTAATTGAAACGCTCCAGCTTGCAAATCGATTGCTCCTTTTGATATTTAGAGTAGGCTGGCGATCCCCGTTCGACTCGGGGCTGGGTCACTCTTTTCTTTTTGACTTCCCTTTGTTTAATTCTTCATGTCGATTTTCGTGAGGTTGACGCTCCGTGTAACCCTCGCTGAATATACACAAGTGCCATGACGTCTGAACATGCATACCGACATGAAAATAGATGAATACTTCGGCTGGAATTCATTCGTCTCCGGGACTCCTCTATTGTCGGAGTTTTTTCTTCTTGTTTCTGCTCACGCTACATGATAAAGAGATAAACTCATTATGTGAAGGGCTCAGTGGTGTAGCGGAAACACTCCAGCCTGTATTGGTTCGTTTCCAATCAAAGGTAACTGGCGATCCCCGTTCGACTCGGGGCTGGCTTGGTTTCTTTTTTGACTTCCCTTCTTCAGTTTCCGATTTCGTGAGCAGTCGATTATATATGTGCAGGGGCATGGCCAGCGCTCCGGCGTTGTATAGGGCTCCTCACTGACTGTAGGTGTGTACGATACCAGCTGAATATGTATGTATACCTACCGATGGAAAAATGAATAAATACTTCAGCCGGAATCAATTTAGTGCGCCTCCAAACTATCCCCAGCATTCGATGTTGAGACGAGTCCAGAAGAACTCGGTGGTGTAGTGGTAATACTCCAGCTTGCATTGTGCTTCCATCCGATCATTAGGCTGGTGATCCCCGTTTGAGTCGGAGCTGGGTCGTTTTTTTGTTCTTGACTCCCTATTTCAATTTCAATTTCGTGAGCAGTTGATTATATATGTGCAGTGGGGTATGGCCAATGCTCCGGTGTTGTATGGGCTCCTCGATGAATGTAGGTGTGTACGATGCCGGCTGAATAGTATGTATATTGACGGCCAAAAAAAAATCAACTGGGATTCGTCTATTGCCGCTTTGATTTTTATGTATACGGGCGTGTAGTTCTTTCCGGCTCAAAACTATCCCTACTATTCGATGTTGAAACAACCCAGAAGGACTCAGTGGTGTAGTGGAGACACTCCAGCTTGTATTGGGTCGTTAGCAATCAAGGGTAGCTGGCGATCCCCGTTCGACTCGGGCTGGGTCATTTTTTCTTTCTGGACTTCCTTCCCTATTTCAATTTCAATTTCGTGAGCAGGTGATTTGTTGACGCAGTGGTGAAATGCCAACGCTCAGACGTTGTATGGGGCTTCTCGCTGAATGTAGATGTGTACGATGCCAGCTGAATATGTATGCATACCGACGGAAAAATCATGGTGAATAAATACTTCCAGCCGGAATCAATTCATCTCCGGGGATCGGTGCGCCTCAAAAGTATCCTCACCAGTCGATGTTGAGATGGACACTGGAGGACTCGGTGGTGTGGTGCTAACACTCCAGTTCGCA